TTTATCACTGGCAATCATTAAAGCAGTATGACCTTTTCTGTTTTGAACATTAGGATCAACTTGTCCCTTTAGCAAAAGTTCAACTATTTGAGTGTGACCATTTTGACAAGCCGACATAAAAGCATTCCCACCACTATTTCTTTGAACATTAGGATCAACTTGTTCCTTCAGCAAAATTTCAACTATTTGAGTGTGACCATTTTGACAAGCCGACATAAAAGCATTCCCACCATTTTTCTTTTGAACATTAGGATCAACATGTTCCTTCAGCAAAAGTTCAACTATTTGAGTGTGACCATTTTGACAAGCCGACATAAAGGCATTCCCACCATTTTTCTTTTGAACATTAGGATCAACATGTTCCTTCAGCAAAATTTCAACTATTTGAGTGTGACCATTTTTACAAGCCGATATAAAAGCATTCCCACCACTATTTTTTTGAACATTAGGATCAACTTGTTCCTTCAGCAAAATTTCAACTATTTGAGTGTGACCATTGCCACAAGCCAACATAAAAGCATTCACTCCATCTTTATTTTGAACATTAGGATCAACTTGTTCCTTTAGCAAAATTTCAACTATTTGAGTGTGACCATTTTGACAAGCCAACATAAAAGCATTCCAACCATCTTTGTCTTGAACATTAGGATCAACTTGTTCCTTCAGCAAAAGTTCAACTATTTGAGTGTGACCATTTTGACAAGCCAACATAAAAGCATTCCCACCACTATTTTTTTGAACATTAGGATCAACTTGTTCCTTCAGCAAAATTTCAGCTATTTGAGTGTGACCATTTTGACAAGCTGACATAAAAGCATTCCATCCACTTTTGTCTTGAACATTAGGATCAACTTGTTCCTTTAGCAAAAGTTCAACTATTTGAGTGTGACCATTTTGACAAGCTGACATAAAAGCATTCCAACCATCTTTGTCTTGAACATTAGGATCAACTTGTTCCTTCAGCAAAATTTCAACTATTTGAGTGTGACCATTTTCACAAGCTGACATAAAAGCATTCCAACCATCTTTGTCTTGAACATTAGGATCAACTTGTTCCTTCAGCAAAATTTCAACTATTTGAGTGTGACCATTTTGACAAGCCAACATAAAAGCATTCCAACCATCTTTGTCTTGAACATTAGGATCAACTTGTTCCTTCAGCAAAAGTTCAACTATTTGAGTGTGACCATTTAGACAAGCCAACATAAAAGCATTCCCACCACTATTTCTTTGAACATTAGGATCAACTTGTTCCTTCAGCAACAGTTCAACTGTTTGAGTGTGACCATTTTGACAAGCCAACATAAAAGCATTCCAACCATCTTTGTCTTGAACATTAGGATCAACTTGTTCCTTTAGCAAAATTTCAACTATTTGAGTGTGACCATTTTTACAAGCTGACATAAAAGCATTCCAACCATCTTTGTCTTGAACATTAGGATCAACTTGTTCCTTCTGCAAAATTTCAACTATTTGAGTGTGACCATTTTCACAAGCTGACATAAAAGCATTCCAACCAACTTTGTCTTGAACATTAGGATCAACTTGTTCCTTCAGCAAAATTTCAACTATTTGAGTGTGACCATTTTGACAAGCTGACATAAAAGCATTCCAACCATCTTTGTCTTGAACATTAGGATCAACTTGTTCCTTCAGCAAAATTTCAACTATTTGAGTGTGACCATTTTCACAAGCTGACATAAAAGCATTCCAACCATCTTTGTC